GGACACAGTGCTCTTTGAACAATATTCCAATCCAGAGGAGAGTGTTATTGCTGAGGGACAGTAGTTGAGTGGGAAGAAGTTAAACCCATTTATTTTTCCATGGCAGAAAGGCAGGAGGAATATCCTGGGAATCTAGCTGTTGGGTCAGGCATGCTGGTGAGCAACACGGCCAACGAGGTTTGCCTCCCATTTGCAACCATTGAGCATCTGGTTGTGACACTATCCATCTGCTTCCTCAGAGTAAACAGAAGACTGATTAAATACGGTGAGGGCCCAGGCTGTGCTCTGGTTTTTGTGCACTGGCTATCCAGCAACAGCATCACACGTGAGACACAGGAATGCTTGGATTTGAATACTAGGTCATCCTTTCTGGGTCTCAGTTTCCCCATCACTATAATGGGCTTGATGATAATAGCGCAAGAAGAGGGTTCATAAGAAGATGAAGCAAGTTACTGTTTATAAAGGACTCAAAACAATGCCTGGCTCAGCCTCAGTGTCCTACAAACACTAGTTCCTATTAATGCTGTTTACAGGTGGGAAACCAAGAGAAGTGGTTGAGAAGTGTGCAGAGAAGTGAGGTCCTTTTGCTGAAGGACAGGTCACTAACCGAGCTAAGGTTCAAACCTAACTTCCCTTCATTCCAAAGCCTGTGCTCTTTCCTGCTATCACGTGCCTCTCACATGTGAGTATTTCTCAACCACAGAGATAAATTTGTCTCCTCTTTCATGTGGGGTGCATTCACTGAGCTCGAGAGAGAAGGCTAAAAATACCGCTGAGTGTAAATCTGATCCAGTGAGAAGGAGTGAGCTGTGGTTGGGTTGGTATAGAAGGAAAGGCCTGCTGCTGCTCCTCCATGATTTTTCAAAGGCCTCTGGGTGGAACATGCACCTGAGCCTGTGATGAGCTTCTGTGACCAGCACCGTGATGGCTGAGCAGGAGGCCTTGCCATGGCCCTGCATCCTCTTCAACCTCTTCTCCAGCTGCCTTCTTCGGGCCCTCTCTCAGTGTCCTCTTCAAGAACTCATGTACATGCCCAGAGCCAGAGTTTCCCTGGGCCGGCTGCTGGTTCAAATGTCCCTGTTGGAGCAGCCCTCACTGACCACCTTACCTGACGTGGCCTCTACCACCTCCCCTCAGCGGCCCACTGGCTATCTAGCACGGTGCCCCTCTGTGGCCTGTACAGCACTTAGCACAACCTCTCCATTTGTTTTGTTTTTTTTGTTTTTTTAAGATTTTACTTATTTATTCATGAGAGACACACAAGGAGAGATGCAGAGACATGGACAGAGGGAGAAGCAGGCTCCATGCAGGGAGCCCGATGTGGGACTCGATCCCAGGATTCCAGGATCACAACCTGAGCCGAAGGCAGATGCTCAACCACTGAGCCACCCAGGCATCCCAACCTTTCCATTTCTGTGTAAATCTACCCCTCTAGAGCGTGAGCCCAGAGACATCAGGCACTGTGTCGATCTCACCCACTGCTGTGTCTCTGGAGCCTGCAATATGTCTGATGCCTCTTCGTCTTCAGAAATATTTTTTGAATAAATAGATGTATGCATGTAGCAATGAATGGACAGGGGAATGAAACCTCAGTTCTTGTTCCCACTCTGCTACTCATTGGCTGTGTGACCTCAGGAAAATCCCTTTGCTTCTCTGGCTTTTATTCTTCTCAATTAGAAAATGAGGGGATTGCAGGAGATGAAGAAGTTTTAAGGTTTACTTTGTGGGTAACAATGAGAGGCGTAAGTAGGTGAGTCACATGCTCATATTAAATTAAAACAAAAAGAAAACTCTCAGGAATCCAGTAGAAAGTAGATTAAAGGTGCCCATTCTGGAGTCCAGAGAGTGGCCAGAGGGCTGGGACAAATGTACTGACCAGAAAGAAATGATTCACCCAGGTTTCTCAGAAGATAGCAGATAAAGCTCACCAACTATCTTAGGTGACAAACTCATCAGGGACTCAAGCCCACTCTAGAGTTTTATATGCTGTGGTAGAAGCTTCTGTCTCTCCCTCTCTGTTTCTTAGACACACACACACACACACACACACACACACACACACGCCTTCTCCTCCCCCCAAAATCTGCTTCATTACCATCTAGGTTTGCCAGATTATGATTATGGCAGATTAAAAATGTTTAATATTTTGAAAAATCATCATCCTAATGACTATATATAATTGACTCCTTTCTAAATATTATGTATGTATAATAATATAATATAAGAGTAAACAGTAGAAAACTATAAATAGAGATCAAATAAAGATTAGGGAAAAGTAGATTTAATAGATCAAGACCAGGAAGGCAGTTATAACATAAACGAGCAAACAGAGGATTCTGGGATTTTATCAAAGTTGAGTCACAAATTTGCCTTTGAGCTTCCTAGTGGCCAGAACAAAAAGGAAACATGACCAGCTACATTATTTACATTATATAAGGAATAAGCATACTAATATGTCAGGAGAAACATTTTCCCTGGCATCTAACTGGAAGAGAAGAACCTCATGTAGGTTTTTTAGAGAGAGCAACTAAGGGATGTCGTGGGCATGTTTCCATTGAAAAATATAGGAATCAGTTGTTTCAGCAATCATTTTATGAAATATTTTTTTTTTAAAATTTAGAGAGGAGGGGGAGGGGTAGAGGGAGAAAGAGAGAGAGAGAATCTTAAGCAGGCTTCACACCCAGCACAGAGCCTACTTGGGGCTCAGTCTCACGACCCTGAGATCAAGAGTCGAAATCAAGGGATCCCTGGGTGGCGCAGCGGTTTGGCGCCTGCCTTTGGCCCAGGGCGCGATCCTGGAGACCCGGGATCGAATCCCACGTCAGGCTCCCGGTGCATGGAGCCTGCTTCTCCCTCTGCCTCTCTCTCTCTCTGTGTGTGTGTGACTATCATAAATAAATTAAAAAATTAAAAAAAAAAAAGAGTCGAAATCAAGAGTCGGATGGTTAACTGACTGAGCTACCTAGGCGCCTGAGAAATGGTTTTTGATTAAGCAAGGGAGACATAAGAAGGAAGAAGGATGGGGCTGCTAATGCATCAGCAACATGTGTTTGGACTTGGGGTTATAAATTGATCAAATAATCATAAGTTTAAAAAATCCACTCTTCTTCTCAGTAGAGAAATGAATAAAAACAGCTACAGTCAACTGAGTCTTTATTATATGCCTGCACACTATGCTAAGCAGGTGACCTAAATGGGCTCAGTTCCCCAACAGACCTGAGTGGTAGGATTATCATTCCATGGGCTGATGGGTTTAGCTAGTTCCTGTACCTTGCTGGAGATCAGAGAACTCTTAAACCCTGGTCCTTCTGACCTCAGATTCCTGCTCTGAAGCACGAGACTCTTCTCTCGGGAGAGTCTGCACTGAGGGTGAGTAATGGTCACAAAGCCAATGTTGTTTCACATTAAACCAAAAAGGAAGAATCTTGCTTCATCCCAGGATGAATGCACTAAAATATCCACATCAGTCTCAGAGAGAGTAACTGATCAATCCACCAAAATGTACCAAGATCCACCAGATTGCTATAACATGGTGGCATTTTATTCAGAAAAAAATAAAATGCCCATATCATCAAGGCAGAAAATATGTTGTCCTCATATTGCTGGTAGGAGCCTAGGAGAGGGGGGCATACCCTGGGCAGGCAGGCTGAGCTGCAGGACCCTATTCTTCATTTTGATTGCGTTGCACCATAATGCTGGCCTTACTAGAAGACAAAGTCTTAAAAAGACAAATTCTATTGTTTGGAGAAAACATCCACAGAGTGTTCTGTGTCCATGCCTACACTCAAGCACAAGGGTGGGTTCTGGAGTCTGGAAGAATTGAGTTCAATTCTTTGGATGTGTCCTCATTGTGTTCCTTTAGCAAGCTTCTCACCCACTCTGATAATAATAGCTCTGATCCCACAAGATTATTTTGAGGGTCAAGAAGGGAGATGTTGCTGGTTAGGGGTTTTGTCCCATGTCTGGCACACAGCAAGTGCTCAATAGATGAGAGTTTTAATTACTCACTGGCTTGGATCACAGCCCATCCCTGAACAAGTCACACTGGCCAGGGGGATGTCATACTCCATTTGGTGGGATTTGGGTCAGAGTTCTGTTCTGAGGGTTGATACCACTGCAAGGACTGGAGCTTGTGGGAAGGCGAGGTGAAGGCATGGGAAGTAGTGATTAGGAGACCACTGCAGGTATCTGAGCAAGAGATAATGGCGGTTGACCAGACGGTGGTGACTGCAGTAGGAGAGCTAAAGTTTAGGCATTGTGCTTCTGACAAGCTGTGGGCCATGAGAACTGAGGGCGCTCAACTGTACTAATAGCTCTTCTGCTTCTTGTCCCTGTGGATAGGGAAGGAGAACACCAGACAAGCAAAGATGAGTAACATATGCCATGGATTCATGTAGAAACCAAATAATGGGGGCACCTGGGTGGCTCAGTGGTTGAGCATCAGCCTTTGGCTCAGGTCGTGATCCCGGCATCCTGGGATCGAGTCCCACATCGGGCTCTCAACACGGAGTTTGCTTCTCTCTGTATATATGCCTCTGCCCCTCTCTCTGTGTCTTTCATGAATAAATAAATAAAATCTTTTTTTTAAAAAAAGAAAGAAACCAAATAATGGGCTATCTTTCCCACACCAGGTCAGGCCACCAAATAATGCCCTTCTTGGGTCTTGGATTTCTAAGAAATGCATGCCACAGAGGAAGGGTGTATGGGGAAGCCAGAACCAGGCTCAAGAGCACACCACCAGTCATGCCAGCCCCAGGTGACAGACAGCCCTTCATGCCTGGGGTACTGGTACCGTCTGCCCCCAGCCTCTACTCCTCATCCTTGATTACAGGCAGGTCCTTAGGTTTCAAAACAGGAAGTAGCCTGATGTGGGTTGCTGTTCTCCCTGGCAGTTTCCCTTCCTGGCAGCCCCTCCTTCAGAAAAACAGGCCAGGCAGCTATTCCACTGAGTGAGACAACACCCTTTCTGGAGCTCTGGTGCAGGAGACAGAGCACTGATTAGAGGACCCTGGGAAGGTCAGCATGGCAGAGCTTTGGATGGCCCATCACCTCGCACAAGGAAGGCACACTTGGGACAGATAAAGCAAGTCTTGCACAAGAGGAGAAGGGACATGACAGCCATTGAGAGCCAGCTATGTACCATGCATTGGCTTAAGATATTTTATCTTGGAGATGCTCTCAACAACCCTGAGAGGTAAGCATTGTGTCTCTCATTTGACAAGCTTAGAGTTATAAGTGGCACAGCCAGGACTCACATCTCTGTTGGACTCCAAAGGCCCTTAGTTTCTTACCGATTACCTGGTTGTTTTCACCTCTAGAGCAACTCCGTGACTCCAGCTGATTTTTCCCCCCACTGGTTTGGATGAACCAGTAGGAGAGCAGTTAAAGACCATCAACATCTATTGCCAGGAGATAAACAGTCTTGTAGCTGTGTGTACACATACACATATGTGCATGTATTTTGCATATTGTAGAGGTTTATGAAAATGTTACAGCTTATCATGAGCAGCTCTACCATTTACCATACCAGTTCTCCTCTTAAATTCAGACAGTCTAGTTTCCTTGAAATGAGGAAACATCTCTATCAGTTTCATCCTGTTCACCCAAAGGATAGTCCCCATCAGTATCTCACACATGGCAGGTGTTCGCTGTATGTTGCTTAACCGGAAATGAATTAAATTATGTTTTATCTGTGCTTCACAGTTCTTTGGAATTTAAAGGGAGATGATACTCCACAAATTTTATTGCCTTGTCAGTGTTAAAGAGCTATTCAAAGGGGAATATTTTCTTTAAACTGCAAAGGAGTTGATAAACATTCGTTTGAAAGAGTATAAGGGCATGATATTCAGGCTCATTCCTCAGAAGGGGGTTTCATATCTAACACATCCCCAGTTGTGTTGCATCTAAGACACTTATTATGTTTTTCAATTTAACTTTGATGAGAGCCTGACCAATACCCAAAGGCCTCTCTAGCTTAAACTAAGACTTGTCTTGCCAGAAACCAAAGTTCCCAGCCATTAATCAATGTCTAGTCCCTAAGACAAGCTGAGAATAGACCACTTGCCTGTAAAGATGTTCAAGGAAACTGCCAGTAGCTTCCGGTAATAGCTGGTGTGAGTAGAAAAGACATAAATTATCAGGGGGTGGTGTTGAGTGAACAGGAAATGAGGGACCATTGTCAATAGTTTCATCCAGAGCAGGGTATAATTTTAAGAATAGAACAGAATAGAAAATCAAATATAACATAAAATATAAAAAATAAAATGAATGCAGTAAGGTCAATGTCACTTTCCAGTTCATCTTGAATTGGATTTCAAACAGTGATTCTTTGTTCCGGTCTTTTCTATGAGGCAAGATGTGATTGCAACTGAAGTACATTGATTAACCCAAAATAACTTTCCCTCAATTTGCTGGATGCTCAAGAATACTCTGGAGACCCTGCTTTTGTTTTGAGTTAGCCATTTGGGAGCTTGGCGCCGATCCTTGTGCAACCATTCAAACTGAGTGAACCAGAAAAATGTCAGGAACTACACAAGGACATATAGTACAGTTTAATTAGTTTAGAGAGAGGGTGGGATCTGCCCCCCCCCTCCCCGCTCCCCAAACATCACTCAAGCAAATTGTTTTTTTTATGGTCTTGTTAAAATAATTTCATGGTCGCAGTTTTGTTCTCATGCTAACTGAGCAGGAGCGCGTGGGTTATTAAAGAGGGTAGTCAGTCTGGCGAAGGTGGGTGCATTCTCTTCGCTTTTAAAAAACATAGGGGTTTAATCACCTGACTTGTGGAATGGCATATTAAAGAACCCAATCTGGAATGTCAGCACAAGGCTGAAGCTCCTATTAATAATAGTTGCTCGCTAGGAAACTTGTCTGCTGACTTTAATCAGGGATTTTCCATAGTAACCGAGGCTGCCCACGGGTAGCAGGGCAGTGGGGATTTTCATTCCTTCAGGCACATTTTTCTGTTCATCGTGGCAAGGAGAACATTACTTACTGGAACATGTGAGCAGAGCTATGCTCTCTGGGAGTGGAAACCTTGCTGTTTCTCGCCCTTAAGACACGTCCTCAAATTGATGGGAGAAGCGTTCTCTTTGAAGAGAGGCAAGCCACCACAGTTTCAAAATATTGGTCTGTTGCATTTGACACCAAGCCCTCAAGTCTTTCTGGTGTTGCTCTGTCTCATCATATGAGTCTTGTGGGTGTGGTGGCAATCAGGGCAGCCCTTCCACCTTCTGTGGGAACCTGGTTGTGATTGCAGAGATGTCACCTGCCCGCTAAAGAAACTTCCATGTCTCCCCATGGCCCATGAGATAAGATTCAGATTTTTCAGCCTAATTTTCAAGGTCATTCATAATCCAGCCACAAACCACTTCTGGCTTTATTTCCCTTTCCTTGTGCTGCCTGGCTATACTGAGTGGCTCTTCTGAGCTTCCTTAACAAGGCTCTTCCCATGGCCTTAGAATGCTCTTCTCCAGCCTCACACCCAGTAGGATGGCTACTATCAAAAAAACAGAAAAATAACAAGTGTTGGTGAGGTTGTGAAGAAATTGGAATCCTTGTGTGCTGTTGGTGGGAATGTAAAATGGGACAGCTGCTGTGGAACATGGTATGGCAGTTCCTCCAAAAACTAAAAATAGAATTACCGTATGATCTAGCAATTCCACTTCTGGGTACATACCCAAAAGAATTCAAAGCAGGGTATCAAGGCGATATTTGTTCACCGTGTTCACAGCAGCATTATTTATGATAGCAAAAACATGGAAGTACCCCAAGTGTCCAGTCAGTGGATGAATGGATAGACAGAATGTGGTATATACATACAATGGACTATTATTCAACCAGGAGGACATTCTGGCATATGCTACAATGGGGATGAAACTTGAGGATATGATGGTGAGATCAGCCTGTCACCAAAGAACATATACTGTACTTCTAGGAGGTACTTTGAGTAGTCATAATCAGAGACAGAAAGTAAAATAGTAGCTGCCAGGACCCGGGTTGGTGAGGAGGCAGGGAGGAGAGGAATGGAGAATTATTATTTAATGGGTATAGAGTTTCAGCTTTAAAAAATGAAAGAATTACGGAGATGGATGGTGGTGATGACCGTACAACACTATGAATGTAGCTAATACCAGTGAGCTGTATATTTAAAAATGGTTCAGATGGGCAATTTTTTCTTATATATATTTATCACAATAAAAAAGAATTGGGGAAAAAAAAGAAGAATGTCATCTGTCATCTTTTGGTGTGAAGCTCAAACAGCATCTTCTGTAGGGGCTCATAGTCTGTGCAGTAGACTGCCCCCACAGTGGTGGGGATAGCTACCTCAGATTGAAGCTTTTATAGAAGGCTGTGAGTGGGTTTCTGCGTGTGGCTGTGTAATATAAAACTGCTTTTTAAGCCATTTACCCTTTGAGGGAAAGAGTGATGGTGACTCCCCTGAGCTTTGTTACTCTAGGTGAGGTTTGCAGCATCAATGTCAGCTGGGAATTTATGAGGAAAAAGCATATCTCAGACCCAACCCCAGATCTACTGAATCAGAATATGCCTCTTATCGAAGCTTCAGGTAAGTCATTTGTGCATTTATGCATTAGGCCCTGGTCTAGGGGGAGCCAACTTCATGAGAGACATTTTTAATTCCTCTGTGGTACATGGCTGTGCGGCAGAGTCAGCATGAAACTCTTTACATGTCACACACCTCTGAGCCTTACCTCATTCAAGAGGTCCAGGGCACTCTCTGAAGCCAGTGTATATTCAGTCCCCAGGTGATTAAGATGCACAGTTAGGGTAGAGAACCATTGGCCTTAGCCCAGCGGTTCTGTAACTTGAGTGTTGTGTCAGAATACTCACAGGTTTATTAATCCAGGTGGCTGGGTCCCACCTCAGAATTCCTGAGGCAGTAGATCTGAGGTGGGGCTGGGAATCTGCATTTCTAACAAGTTTCTGGGCCATGGCAACACTGCTCATGTCAGGACTACACTAAGGGCTACTGGCTTCACATATGGGAAATACTTGAAGAATAAATTGAAGGAAAATTAGGAGAAAAGAGATTCAAGAAATGTCTGGTGTTTTAGTTATCAATTGTGTAACTTGCCATCCCCAAATGTGGGGATTTAAAACAACAATAATGTGGGGTGCTTGTGTTGCTCAGGCAGCTGTGGCCAACTCTTGATTTTGGCTCAGGTTATAACTTCAGGGTCATGAGAGCCCCAGGTAGGGCTCCAGGCTTAGCAGAGAGTCAGCTTCTCTCCTTATCCCTCTCCTGCTGCCTCTCCCCCTGCTCATGCAGGCACACACACTCTCCTTCTTTCTGTCTCTCTCTCTACTATCAATCAATCAATCAATCAATCAATCTTAAAACAACAATAATGTATTATTTCTCACAATTCGGGATGTTAACTGGGCTCAGCTGGATGGTTCTTTTGCTCCAGAAGGCTGGTGCTACTACACCCGAGACAGCCTTTCACCCTTAAGGCTTCTTCCCATACCATGGCTTCTCACCTCTCAGTAGTCTGGCCTAAGCTTCTTGAAAGCAGCTGGCTTCCAAAAAAGAGAACACAGAAGCTGCCATTTTTCCTTTTAAGGTCTGGTCTTGGAAGCCTCAGAATACCATTTTACTGTATTCTATTGATATAAACCAAGTCTCTAACCCAGCTCAGACTCAAGGGGACAGGAGCTAGATTTCAACTCTTAATAGAAGGAGCAGCAGAGAATTTGTAGCCATCATTAACCCACCATCTCTAGTTTATTATAGTGGATAAATTAAGGGACCTAATGAAAAACATCCAAAATTCTGCTCATCTGTCAGTTGGTCACATTAGCGACGCCTGTGGCACCCATCTATTGCTCTCCACACTGGACCTCATGGCTGGAAATTCAGTGTTGGGCATCAGCTTTGCTCTGCTTTCCTGCTTAGTCAAGCCCTCCTTGTGATCTCATTTTTTTTTGGATCAAAGCTTTCTTCCTCTTTCACCCATGATTCCAAAGATGGAAGGGGCTTGCAAGAATTGATTTATGGGTATAAAACCCTTCACAGAAAGTTCTATAAAACTCATATGCTGAAGCAGTGAGTTACTGCAATAAAACACTGATGAATCCCTTCACTCTTGATTGTCAGACGGCAAAAAAAAAAAAAATTAGATTTTGGGGAATGAGTGATAACTTGAATGACAGTGACATAAGGACTCTACCCATGGCCCATTCAGTTGGGAGTTGTTAACAGTAATAGTATTATTTTGGTTCCTAGTACTTTAATAGCAAATTACTTTAACACCCATACTTTCTACAGCATCCACAGAGCCCTTTTTTCAGGAGTATTATCACATCTGAGCCTTCATAATCATCCATCAAGTGGTACTTAGCCTCATTCTGCAGATGAGGAAACTGGAGTTTCTAAGAGTAGATGTTGCCCAAGGTCATGGTAAAAAGTAACTGCTAGAATTCACACCCAGGACTCCTACTGTGAACTTTTCCCAAGACTTATTTTAGGAAATTCTTTCCAGGAAAAAACTCAAGTGAGCATCCTATAGTCAACTGAGCAAAGTAGGAAGAAATATAATTAAATCTAGATCTCCCTTACTTAAAATGTGTGCTCCAATCAGTCATATCGTCATGTGAGAACTTCTTAGAAATGCTGAACCTTATAGGTCCTAACCCGGACCTGCATTTTAAAAAGGTCTCCAAGTGATTTGCATGTCCCAAAAAGTTTGAGAAGCGCAGATTGAGGACACAGTCTTGGAGTCAGACAGGCTGGTATCAGATCTTACCTTGCACTTACTAGCTGCCTGATGTGGGCAAGTCATTCTCTGAGCTGCAATGTGCTTATCTGTAAAACAGTGATTAAAACAAAACAAAACAAAAACCCAACTGTCCTCCCAAGGTTATTGCAAACATTCTACAAGTTAATTCGCATAAAGTGCTTTTTAGACTGCCTGGCCTATAGTAAGTGCTCAGTAAATGTGAGACACTATTATTACTGTTAAAACTAATAAGCTTTCTGATCAGCCAGCCAGATGGCCCATGATTCCCCACTGTGAAAAGAAAAACTCTCCATATTGTACCAACTGCAAAAGAAGGAAGAGACAGAGCCTTTGCCCTTGAGATGCTCTGGGAGCAATGAGAAAGGGAGGACAGGCACATAGAAAAACAGACAAGCAAAGTTATCCCACAGAACTATCCCCACGGAGCCTGCACTCTCACAGGCAAGATGGGCTATTTGATGAGGTGCCACAGGGAAGAGGAATCGTTCTGGAGCTTGTTAACTAACTGATGAGTCAGGGACGACAGTGACTGAAGCGTGAAGGTGGGAAAACACAGACAAGGCTTAGGGCGATGGGGCCCGCCAGGGCACATTTCCCCCCCCCCACCCTAGAGAGTGCAGAGCTGGTGGGAGGGGGCAAGACTGGGGCAGGGCTGAGGCGGGGATGGAGGGGACAGGGACTGGGGTCAGGGCTGATCCTACCTGGGGCAACAGGGGACACTGGGCCTGAGGGCCTGCCTAAGCCAGGATCCAGAGAGGAACGCTGGTCTCTTAGTTCTGATTAATTCCAAATCCAGAGTGGGTAATGGCAGGATGGATGCCAGCAGCTAGAAATACCCTGGCCAAGATTTGATTTGTGTACCATAAGCTGGAGTGGAGTCTAAGTAGGGTCAGGGTCTGAGGGCTGCCTCAAAGCATGATAATACCAGTGACAACTACTAAAATCATAATATAACAATAAGAACATGTATCAGGTGCTTATTGTCAGCATTTCCTGGTATTAATTCACTCCATCCTCACAAGTATATAAAATCAGTCGTTTCTTAATACAGATGAGAGAACTGAGACAAAGAGAAGGTAGATTATTCTCCCAAAGTCATGCTAATAAGTGGCAGTGCCAGGTCATTTGGGTCTCAGAACTGGCCTTCTTACACCTTAAACTAGATTGAATTTCAGCTGGTCTTTGGTGCTGGATTTTGGGGGTGCAGGGAGAGGGATCTGATGTGTGAGTTGAGCCCATCTGGCTCAAGGAGGCTGAGGGAGAAAAAAATGGGGATGACCTGTGACACTGTCTTTTGACGCTGCCACCTTAGAGATGAAGACACCCCTAATTTTTGTCTTAAGTTTCAGTTTACATGAGGCAGGTACTGGTAAGTGCCCACTCTGGGACATACATGAAGCCAGGCTCTGAGAGACACAGATGATTCAGGCACTGTGCTGGCTCTGAGTAGCTCAGGGTCTCATAGGTGCCTGTCAGAACAACATGTGCCAGAGAGATGTAAACCAAGGAGAGTCGAGAGAGCATGCTGTAGCTGTAACTTACTTCTCGGTCAATGAAACCAAGATGGTGGAAGGATTGCTGCCATCCTTCCTGTTTCTAGTTTCCCCCATGTCCTGGTCTTTGTAAGTCCTTTTCCAAGCCAATTGGGCCCTAAGTTATTTTAACTTCTCACCTTCTGCGATTTATTCTCTTACCTTCTCAAGTCTCCTTATTTATGAAATTCACAGATCTAGTCTCAAATTAGGAATAAGCTTTGGAAAAATCTCAATTCATCCAGTGTGCAGTTAGAAATAACCCATGAGCCAAAACAAGTCACAAGCAAGTTGAAAAGGAAAATGCCCTACACAGCCGCAGGAAGAGGCTTGGTCTATGACTTGGAAGATCTTTGTGCAAATTCTAGCTCTGACACCTATCAGCAGTGGGATCCTGAGAAGTGACTTCCCTCCCTCTATAAGCCTGAATTTCCCTTCCCTACGCAGAATTCTTCATGTGCCCCTTTTGCTTTTAGGAATCTTGCCTAATCTAGGCCCTGCTAACCTCTCCAGCCTCATTTCTCAAAATTCCCCTTGGACTTTAACAGATGAGTAGTCACCTAAATGACAAAGACGTATTGTTTACTTATCAAGAAATCTGGGAGTACATGCCTTCCAGGATTGCTTTAGCAGTACTTCAAGGTCCAGATATTGGTTCCATCTCTCCAGTTCTCCTGTCCTTCTTCTTATTGTCACAAGATGGCTGCCATAACTCCAGAACATTACACTCACACATAACAGTGAGATCTCTTCGTTGGTTTCTTTGCTTTAATCTGCAGTCCCCCTACCCCTGCCCTGGAGTCCTTCTCTTGACATCTTTTTGGTTGACACAGTGTCACACAGTAATCTCTAGCAAGGTGATTTCTGATAAAGCCTCTATCTTGCTTCTCTCCATGTGGTATAGTTGGTAAGGAAGAAATGGATTGCAAATGTCTATTGCATGGCCAAGCTACATTGTCTGCTATATTCCTAATCAAAGTTTTGTCTGTCTAACACACCAATCCACTCAATGTTTCCCCCAAAAGAGCATATAATTTCAGCTTCTGTGTCATTGCATATGCTGGTTCCCTCTGTCTGGAATGCCTTTCCTTCCCTTCTCCATCTGGTAAACCTCCACTTACCTTCCAAGATTCAGCTCTGTGACGCCTTCCTGTAATACCACTTCCACTCCAAAGTCTGAGTTAGACAGATCTTCCCTCTATGAGCCAAAAGCTTCTCTGATTTATTTCTCTACCCTAGAGTCTAGCATATTACTTACCATAAAACAAGTATCC